TTTCATCTTTACACATTCATGTTTCTGGCATGCGGGGGACGATATGTACTTGCCGATTTGTTTTACAAAAATTATTTAAAAAGCAGACGTCTCGGTTGCTCAGCAAACCGGTTAATCGTTTCTGCAATTATTTCACATTGATTCTCTAAAACAAATTTTCGATGTATTCTTAAAATGCATAAACCTAAAGTTAAATTTTATGGGAAATTAAGCTAACAATTTATTAAATCTAGTAATAACCTCGAAATACGGGTGAGTACTTAGCTCAAAATTTATTTAAGGAACTTCGTGAAAGACAGCAATTAATCTTGTATTGCTAGACACCTGATAACCCAGGATAATTTTTGAGTTCTTAAAAGACATTACTCTACTCTAAGCTTCGTGCAGTGGGCCATGAGAAAACCGTCGTCTTTAAGGTATAGTCCAACCTTTCACAATATCTGGTATTAGTCTTAATCTGAAACGCAATAATCATTGAAAATTGGCGCCGTTTATGGTGAAAAGNTTGAAAATTAGCGCCGTTTATGATGGAAAGCATTTAATATCACACTTTCAAACTAAACTTTTCGTAACCCTAGAAGCCTAATCTATTTGGGAGTAACGTAAAGCCTTAACATACGCCGTAGAGCCTTATGTACTTAAAAGATAACCTGTGAGCTTAAATATGCTTAGTCCTGCCTTATTTTTTAAAGAATATTTTGAAGTTGTGGGGTTGACTAATAATAAAACATAGTTTTATTAATAAAAACTATAACCACATTTATTTAAAACAACAACAAAAAAGTAAGTTTTGTGTTAAAATTAAAAAAAAAAAATACCCATTCCGTATACGCCTCGCAGACGCAGATTATACTTTTAGGGTTAACCATTTCAGTACAAAAATTCAACCACTGGTGGTACCGGCTAATTTTGGATCGTTCATTTTAAAAATCACATACAAAAATGTGTAGGGCTTTGAGGTTTGCGGTCATTCAGGGTCCGTTTTAAAGGTCAGTGATATCCTAGGTGTTTAAAAGAGAAAGGGATCTCAGCCATTTTTATTTTTTGCTTTCGTGAAATATATTTCAAAACTAGGAATAATACCTAATAACTTNGGGCTTTGAGGTTTGCGGTCATTCAGGGTCCGTTTTAAAGGTCAGTGATATCCTAGGTGTTTAAAAGAGAAAGGGATCTCAGCCATTTTTATTTTTTGCTTTCGTGAAATATATTTCAAAACTAGGAATAATACCTAATAACTTAACCGAATCTCAAATCCAATAATATCGACTTTTCTGCCGCTTTTTACTTGTTTGACAAACACGGTCAACTGCAACTGCAGCTTGCACGTTAGTTTGATATATAGCTCAATTCTGTGGCTGCTACAGATCGGCCTAACTAAGTCGTATGACTGAGCAATTATATATAGATACTAANACCTAATAACTTTACCGAATCTCAAATCCAATATGGTTAATATTTTTCAATAGATTATATTACTCACTATCGACTTTTCTCCCCCTTTTTTACTTTTTTGACAAACACGGTCAACTGCAACTGCAGCTTGCACGTTAGTTTGATATATAGCTCAATTCTGTGGCTGCTACAGATCGGCCTAACTAAGTCGTATGACTGAGCAATTATATATAGATACTAACGGTCTGAACTACAAAACATAGTGACATGTAACACATTATGCAAGTGCCAGCTTATATCATGTCGCTTATACATGTTTGAAAGTGATATATGAAGACATAGCCGAATAAATTCAAATCAAATCATGCATCAAATTTATGCATGCCAACAAAAGGAACACATACATGCGACATATTCAGCATTATTATTTACATTGTATATACGGGAAGAGATTTTCCGAATTTCGCAAGCTCCTACTATAGTAAAATTTATTAAACATTTTTCTAATTAAAAATCTATATACCAACGGTGGGCAAATACTCTTTTTACTTTCTCCTTGCTTAGAACATTTTTGCTCTTTTTACTCTTTAAAATACATATTTCTTTGCTGGACATTCTTTTCCATTGTACAGTGGCAAATTTTTGGAAAACCCTGGCCAAAAGTCCAAAAATAAATTGGTGCATTCTTATGCATAACCATCTTATATTGTTAGGAGGGCTCTACTGCGTATCGTTATGAGACAACAAGTCGATTCTCTTAAGGCATTTAGGGCCGGTTACTCAATGCCTTGTTAACACTAATCTCCGGTTAAACATTGTTATCGACGTATTCGAGTCCATTCATACAACAGGGAGTCGGTAACGTCGATAACTATGTTTAACCGGAGATTAGTGATAACCAGACATTGAGTAACCGGCCCTAAGTGTTACAGGAGATCGAAGTGACTGTTGCTAGCAATTCGCTTTAAACTTTTCGTAAATTAGAGCTTTCGTCGTTGTTAAAATCGTGGTATTATCCTTAAAAAAAAAAATAACAGTTTGCAAGCATCCGCTCATGGACATTGTAATCTAGAGTATGTAAAACATGTTTTTTCATTGTCACGCCATCTAAAAACTGACGTAAGACGTAGATATTCACGGATTGATTTTTTTTGTTTACTCATTATGATGGATTAGGAAAATAGTTACGAGAGTGGT